TGAGATAATAGCTTTGTCTAGATGTCAAGGGGCACACCAGTATCTGACCCTTCAGGGAATTACAGCCTTGTGTGGCTTATTCCTTTGCGAGTTTTAATCCATTTCTTTTCTCAGTGCTTAAAGGGAAGAAGAAGAAGAAGGAAAAGAAAGGGGTTCAGCAGTCTGAGTTCTCCACTCAGAATTTCTATTACATGCTTCAGTGACTTGAGTTGATCAAATAAAATATATTTGCCGGTGGCTGAAATGCCCAGTGAAGCATGAAGTCAGCTGTGAAGTATTCGATAGACACCTATGATAGAAGGAAATTAGCTGCCCGTGACCTAGAATGAAAATTTTGGGTTGCCGTTTTTCAAGATCCTATTCTGATTTTTTGAGTCGGCATCCAGCTGCCATAAGTTGTTTGGAATGGCAATTGCAGGTAGGGGGTGGGGTGTGTGTGAAAAGATATTAGTGGAGACCGTTTTGTCCAAAGGAATGAAGGGATGAATAACTGAAATGGCCAGCTGGATCAGCAGTGGCAGTCAGTATAGCAGTCGGAAGAACTCCTAGCAGAAACAAGAGAGAGCCAATATAGTGTGAAATCATGTGGTACACTTAGTCATTAGAAGTTATAAAGTACATGGCAAACCATATTGATCAAAAGCTAGACATGTAGAGGTGTCAGGTTATCTCAAGCATTTCCTTAGTCTGGTGGGCCAAATTCTTGTGTGTAGTGGAGATTCCCAAGGGGGGCTGTGGCAGATTTCTGGCCGGGTGAAGGAGTACACGGGTTGCTGCACTGTTCAGAAATGCAATGAATGTCTGTGACTCTGAAATCTGAGCTTATCTGAAGCTTCAGTATCCCTATCACAGCACACTCCGTATTTGAGTAACTTCATTGGGAAGTAGATTTTGTTTAACTTTTGAGTTCCCTTGTTTAAGGGAATCAGAAGTATCAGAAGTTCTTTTGCACTTTTATTCCAGATGCGGCATCCACCGCATGTTCCCTTTACACTTGGCCGCTCTTAACGCACATGCTGACTGTTGTCGGAAGTTGCTGTCATCTGGTGAGCAAACGGAAATGGAAATGTAATGAGTGAGCTCACTCCCTTTACATTGGAGTGAGCTCGCTCTTGGCTCTTTTGTTGCTCAGTGTTATATACATTTACATTCTTCTCATTCTGTTGCTTCTTCAGTTTCCTATGTATGGTACGTTTGCATGTGCTTATTCGTACAAATGAGTTAAGTTTTTGCATGTGCACAAAACTGTGTCATTTGTCCTGAGGCACACAGAACATTTGTTTGTTTGTCTGACTGTCTGTCTGTCTTAGAGCCAGTGGTCAGAGGGAATTGTGTTTATATCTGAAGTACCTGTGAGTTGAATGGTGCACATGGGATGCTTCTTCCCTCTTCGGCCCCCTGGAAAACTTGCTCTGAAAGGGAGATAGCTTTTCTGGAACAGAGTGCTTGGGGAGTGGGTGCTGGGACCTGCAGGGAGAAGAGGGCTCCAGCAAAAATTCTCATCCTTTTCTCTTTCCCCTGCCCTCAATAACTCAATCCACTGACCTGAATGTGCGTCTCAAGGGACTCAGTCATTTGTACAGAAAGACAAACCAGTATTGCTGAGAATTTCAGCTTATCTGTAGCAGGCAAATAAACCTGTTTGCCTTTTTTAAATTATTGATTTGTTCATTCCTTCTTATAAATAAATAGGTGAGGTGAGAGAAAAAGATATGGAGGCCAACAGTTTTTTTTTAGCCCGTAAAGAGCAGTGACCTCTTAATTCAGGTGTATGCAGCTCCAACGTGGGGCTAAAGCATCACCTGGCTGGTGTCGAGCAGCTCCACCTGTTGTTTTGCAGAAGCCACTTGGCAGTGTTGATAGATGAGGAACCAGCAGTAGAAGCAGTGGCTAGCTTTTAAACATGGCAGGAATATCCCTGGTCAGTATTCTGCCTTTGGCCAATGGGCAGGGCTGATGGTAGTTCTGGTCCAAAATGTTGGGGGAGCCCCACTTTGGAGAGAGTTAGTATAAGACTTTTCCTTATATGTTGTGCAGGCATTGGATGCCCACTATCAATTTACCAGTCAGTTCAGACAATAAGGTATCAACTATCCATAGATATTTTCCAATAGGCTGACAGGATTGGTCTAAGACATTTTTCTGCTTGAGCTGGCGCAGAACATGAACTTTCCCATCGTTGCCAAAGTACAAGACATAAGCCAGCTATGCTATTTTGACACGTGAAGCAGAAGGTCTCACAAGGGTCTCTCACCTTTCCTGGCAGTAAAAGCCTAACCATAATAAATTAAATAATGAAGAAATTGCTGTGCTTTCATGATACTCCAGAGCTGCTCTCTGAAGTGGCTCCCTCACTCGCTGTATGATAATGCTGCTTATAGAAAAATGCATAAATTCTATCACAGCAGTACCATTTCAGCTTCTGAAGCATTTTTCTCAGTGTCTTCTGAAAATCAATTTTTCTCAAGGAGAACAGAAGAGCAAGTGCTATTCCTAAGCAACAGAAATAATAAACAGATGAATGTATTATGAACAATAAGAGACAGAAAGAAACATTTCTAGATATCTGAGAATGTATGGTCTGTGCATACCCTTGGAGAACTCAAAACACAAATGTCCCCTTTTTTGCAATTTCCCAAAGGCTATTTCCACTAGCAGTAGAAGACAGGAGGGCCTGGCGTGCTCTGGCTCCACTACCCGCTCAATGGCGGATTTTCATTGTGCTTGTGTTCCAGTAAACCTCTGCTTTTCCATTAAAAGAATTTGCATTTTCCTAGAAAGTCAGCTGTTGTACTACCCGCTCAATGGTGGATTTTCATTCTGCTTGTGTTCCAGTAAACCTCTGCTGTTCCATTAAAAGAATTTGCATTTTCCTAGAAAGTCAGCTGTTGTTTTCCATGGGCAAAATCGAAAGCCATCAATATATAAACCTCTTATTTGATGCATGCTGTGGCAATCTCTACAGTACATAAACCTCTTATTTGATGCATGCTGTGGCAATCTCTGGGACTCTGTTGTTTTCCTGACAGAGCTCTCTTGCCTTCATGCCCTGCTGTCAGTTCTCTCGATAGCAATCTGCCTCATAAATGCCTGCTGCATGATTTAAATACTTCTATGGCACAGGGCTGGATGTGAAAATAGATTCTTTTTGGCTTTATGGTTCTTTACATCACTGCCAAGCTTGAGCAGCCACTCTCCGTTTCCATGACAACCCCTTGCTGACTACAGTTATGTCTGCCTTCTGACTCCTTTTTCCCCCCTCTTTCTTTGACTAACTGATTTCTCTGTCTCTGCAATGTTTCTTGCGGTTTAACTAGGACAAAAGTATAGCATAGTGTCCTTGTTTAGTAATGAGCACGTGCTGTCTGCAGGCTTTGAAATAGACACCCCAGATAAATTTGGAAGAACGTGCCTCCACGCTGCTGCTGCGGGCGGGTGAGTAGTTTTTGAAATTGCCATGGCAAAGTTATATATAATTTTAGTTCTGCAGTCTGTCCGCTGAGGAATGTGTTCCAAATAAGGAACAGCAAGATCAACATGACATAAAGCCTTCGTTTACAAGGACTGTATTCATATGTTCATGTACAGAAGGGATAAAAACCTGTTGTATAGCATAATAAGTTGCACTAGAGTGGGGCCCATGGAATCAGTGGGGATTTGGTGAGTCTGTAAGTTCCATTGATTCAAGTGGGCTTACTCTAGTTGTGACCTACTGCACTAAGCAACAGGATTTCAATCGCACAGATCATTTGAATTGGTTGTTTTTCTTCCTTTTTTATATCACTATAGCTGTATGTGATGTGGTATATACAGTATACCTCCATTTACATGATTGTCAGTTTAGTTGGTACATTTCTTGTTATTTGTACTGGTTCTGTAGGCAACACATGCCATCTCATAAAAATTGGTTCATTTGCCCTCCTGTTTCTGGGTTCCCTCTACTCTTAAATGTTCTTTTTAAAAAATCATAAATGATACATCATAGACATTAATATTTAACTGTGTAACACTGTAGAAGGTAGTATTAGAATTTGATTCATAAAGTCACACAAAAATGGGGGCAACAGTTGCAATGTAAATAATTGACAACAATGTTGGCAAGCACCAAAATGATAAGGATTGAAGCAATACAGGATTCTGATCATTTTTAAAAGGCCATTGCAGCAAGGTGGGGAAAAAACGATGCCTGGCAAATCAATGTTACTCATGAATGGGAATTTATAAAATGATTTAAATAAGGGCAGAAGCAATATACCTGGGGTTTTTTGGCACGTGTGAGTGAACCCTGAGTGAGGAAAAATAACTCCCTGGCCTAATGTACAGAGACAAGCTGTACTTGATTTTTTGAGTCAAACAGTTAACACTTTTCTAGTATCACAGTCTTCTTCCTACCTAATCTGAGGTTTCCCATTTTGGTTACAATTGTACCAAGCTGTCATGTAAAAAGGTAGGGTTTATCATGTTGCAACACCTCAGCTGTTCAGTATAATTTTGTAAGTTTAATTGTGTGTTCTGTTTTTGAAATTGCTTTTAGTAGTGGTTTTAATATTAATTAATTAATTAATTAATAAAATGACTGCTTGCCCAGTAGTTTTAGTATAGTTTTTAATGGTGTTTTAAAGTTCGTGATTAGTGATAGTTTCATGGTCGTGATAGTTTTAATTATTGTGAACCACCTTGGGTCCCCTATGGGAGAAAGGCAGTACAATGGTGCCTCGCTTGATGAGGATAATCCGTTCCAGCAAAATTGCTGTAGAACGAAATCGTCATCAAGCAAACGGTGTCTGTATAGTGAGGAATCCATCCTAAAACACAGCGGGTGGCCATTTTGAAAACCCAACAATCAGCTGTTTTGATCATTGTTAAGCGGAAAATTGGTTCCCAAAGCAGGGAACCGCTCATCGTTAAATGAAAAAACTCCATACAAACATCATTTTGCGATCACTATAACAATTGCAAAATACATCGTTAAGCGATTTCCTCGTCTGATGAGGTAATCGTCAAGCGGGGCACCACTGTATATATAAGTAATAAAAGAATAATAAAATGACTTGTGTTATATTATACAGTGACATACTTTGGCATTATTTACCATTTCTTCTCAGAGGCCAGATCTTTTGCCTCGTGCTTTGTTCTCTAATATAAGCTGAATCATAAACTATTTACCGTATTTTTTGCTCCATAAGACACACCTTTCCATAAGACGCACCAATTTTTTAGGAGAAGAAAACAGGAAAATATAATCTGTTTTCTTTGCTCCATAAGAAAAATACGGTAATAATAATTACATAACATGAAGTTGATTCTAATTTATAACAACATCTTCCAGGATTTTCTAGCTGTAGAATAGTAAGAAGTGACTAATCATTCCTTCTTTTTTTTGGGGGGGGTGTACCCTGGGACTGTGCAGCTTGCCCAGGACTACATAGGCTGGCTATTCTCCGACAAGGCACAGTGGGGAATCAAACTCCTATCCTCAGAATCTGTAACCAGATATTTAACTCACTCACAACCATGCAGCTTTGTATCATCCTAGGAAACAAGTTGCTGGATAGACATGAGATTATCTTCAATCTGGATTGAAATATTTCCTTTTAATGGACTATGCTTTTCCTCTCAAATCAAAGACTAGCAATAAACATTTTATTATTCTAGAATTTATGTGTATCAAAACTGTTTTTCAAGCATGAGAGAGACAAAGGAGGCACTTCAAGGAGTTGGTGCTGTTCTAATCACCAAGAAACTGGCAGAATGAAAAAGAATGCAAATTGAAATCCATTTGTTACATTTGAAATAACCACTTTAGCCAATGCATTTCCAGATGGTTAACTCATCTAAGAAACTCCAGCTTTGAGATTCTTGTTTCAGTAGATGAGACGTGCGAGTATTCTTACACAATTTTTGTTTACTGCCGTTGGGCTTGTGCAGGAGAACCTCTCGGCAAGAATGTATGAAAATACAGTATGGAATTACATAAAAATACAGTACTTGTATGGCATTGCTATTTTTTATTACAATAGATAGAATCATATTTGCTTAAATTAATTTAAAAGAATGCAATATTATTATTGTGTTTAACTAAAGGATATTATTTTGAAAAGGTCAGGAAAAACACATGATGTAGTTACCTTATAATATCGCAGTGAGGGCTTAAAAAAGGAGCATACTTGGCTGGTAACAGCTGTAGATTTGTAGTGAGAATTAGATCACATGATAAAGTGAATACAATGTTTTCTCCTTATAGCTTTGTCCCTCCAGGTACATAAATCATTTACAGATACATGCCTGAGATATCAGCCATACAAACCAAATCACGTTGTCTCTCAGTTGGCCAGCTACATAGCAAATGTAGGCTCACCTGCCAAATATGGTTGGAGGCAAGCTCATTTTAGATTAAACAGGCTGTGCTTCCTCAGAGTGTTGCCTTTCATGTTTTTGGGCAGCAACTCTCAGAATTTTTTAAGAATTCCCCAGGCAGAATTTTGGTTTCAGCCCAAAATTGCAAATTTGCCCTCCTCTATATATGTCTACAGGAAAGAAAATGTATGAGATGGCAAGAGGTGGTTTTTTTTTGGGGGGGGGTTGTTTTTGTTGTTGTTTTTGGTCTTACTTTGAGTTGTTAGTATGAGGTTGCCATCCAGGAAAGTCATCTTTTAAAAACTGAATTAGGAGACCGGTAAGCAAGTCCAGGTAGATAAAGGGATCTGCCACCTTTAGAAATGCCTGGTCATGCATGCAAAAAAAGTTGGGCAAGAAGAGAGGGCTCATGGTGTGCCAAAGTTGGATGCATTGTTGTGCACCGGATGGAAGCCTGGGAGCACAAACCTTCCTCCTTGGGGTGCTGGAATGGATTTGGGGGCCTGGAGCATTCTGTCCCTTCTCACCTGCCAGGTGGAGGCTATGGGTGGCAGCAAAGAATGAAACATCAGGATGGCTGAGCCTTCTTCCTGCAGAGCAAGAAGGGGGAGGATATTCCATTGACCAGCAAATAACCTAAGGGCCCCTGCTCAACTCCACGACAGCCCTTGGCAGCCCCAAGCAGAAGTGGTTGACATTGTGAGGTTATGAAATGCTCTCCCTCGGGAGTTCAGGCTGGCCCCCTCCCCCTCTTCTGCCAACAGCTGAAGACCCATCTTTTCAGGCAGGCTTTTAATAATTAGGTTTGAGTCTCTGAATGCCTTTTAAAAGTTAAAATAGTTTTTAATGTTTACTTTCTTTTAATTATTCAGTTGTATTTTAATTAGCATATAGTTTAATTTTTTTAAAATTCAAACTTATGTTTTTAATTTTATTCTTTTTAATATTGTGAGCTGCCTTGCGTCCCCTTATGGGGAGGAAGGTGGCCAATCCATCCATCCATCAAATAAATGAACTCTGTCATTGCGTTGACCATGAACCCCTCTGTGCACCAAAGTATTCTAGAATCAAATGTGAGGCCATCTGTCTGACCGCTAAAGCTTGGCCAAACGTGGGTCCTACAACAGGACGGTGATCCCAAGCAGACCAGCATATCTGCAACAGATTGGCTGGGGGGTATTGGTGAGAATCGAGGTGTTGCAACGGCCCAGTTAAACTTTAGACCTCAATCTGGTGGAAATGCTGTGGCAGGACCTTAAGAGAGCCGTGCATAAACAAATGCCTGTAAGCCTCAATGATCAGAAACAACGCTTTTAAAAATAGTGGGCCAAAATTCCTCGACAATGATGTGAGAGACAAATAAAATCATACAGAAAACAATTACTTCAAGTTATTGCTGCTAAAGGTGGTTCTACAAACTGCCGAATCATAAAGTGTACTTAGTTTTCCACACGTGGCTTCCCCATTTTGGCTTCATTTTTGTAAAATAAATCATGACACGGTGTAATATGTCATGTGCTTTCCAGTGTTGGAGCACTCACCACCAAGCTTCCTGACTAAAAGTACAATCCTGATTAGCCAATGTGGTTCAGGGGCTGGCTTAGCAGACACTTCAGCTTTGCTGAATCCAAACCTTTTCCTTCCCAGGGATGCTGAAATTTACTTAGGCCTATGCTGATCCTAGTCTGGTTTTTCCCTGGCACAGTTGTCATTAACCTGGACTGAGAGGGGCTTGGATCTAACAAAACTCAATTCCTCTTCTCCTTCACCCCTTTTTTATGGGTCTTCTGCCAGCTGATCTCTGCCAGCAGAGCAATTGTGCCTGCAGGTCCAGTTGTGCTGGCAGATCTGAGGTCAGCCAACGCAGTGGGGTTCTGCCAGCCCAAGGGCATTTGTGCCAGCCCAAGGCGTTTGTACTCCTTCTAAATCTACCGCAACCAGTGTCCCTTTGAGTACGGATGTCACTGCAATCCAGAAGATATTTCAAGGTTATTTTGGGTAAAGATGGGAGTGTGTGTAAATGATTATGGACTTGTGTTTGATCATAGCATATTGTAATCTGTTCTTCCAAGCTCTTAAAACTGTTAACAGCAAGACAATATTTTTGCATTACTATGAAGTCCCTCTCTTTCTTTTATTCATGTATCCTTTTCTTTCCCTTTTCTTTTCAGTAATGTTGATTGTGTGAAGCTCTTGCTAAGCAGTGGAGCAGATTTTAATAAAAAAGACAAACATGGAAGGTATGTAACATATCAAGCTTTTTAAAAAAGGGATAAAAACATAAATCTTATGGCAGAGGCATACTCCAGGCCAAGCTAAGGCGAACTCATCCTTAGTTGCCACAGTTGCATCCCTAAAAGACAAAAAACAAAACAAAACAAAACAAAGGAACTCATCCTTAGTTGCTACAGTTACATCCCTAAAAGACAAAAAATAAAACAAAACAAAACCCTTACAACTTTCAAGGATGATTGTGCTGGCCCATTTTCATGGGATTTGGCTGGAGTTTGTGTGTGTGTGCTTTTTTTAAATCAAGAATCTGTAGATTGTTTTTACCAGGTTGAAGTGCGAGTGTGAGGGGATGGGGGATAAGAGTGAGGTGATACAGATGGCTATACAGTACTGTACTTTTTAGGGGCTGTGGGATGACTGCTTCTTTTTATCTCTGAGCAGGAGCGGAAACAGCCATTCAGTACAGTCTATATATGGCTGTCTGAAGTGCAATGCCGAAAGAGACAGACAGGTGCAAGCAGCATTAAATGCCCTTTGCTTTTTTGTCCTGTTTTACAAACAGCAGCAGCAGCAACACATGGCCTGTTCTCTACTCCTTTCAAACATGGTTTCAACCCTTGGGCTCTTATTTTATGCTGTCCCAGAGTGGACCATCGGGTCATCTCAGAGAGGATTTTGTTGTCTACCTGCTTTCATTTTTTTCTCTGCCAACTAGACTTTGTCAGCAATTTTCCTAGCCTTACGCAAACTTTTGTATAGAAAATAAATGGTTTTCTACAAGTCTTGGTAGAGGCAATGACCAGGTTTCTGTCCCACATTTATGCTAGTGTTTAAATTTTGTTAAAAATTATGATAACCTTTGTGCTATGTTGTCCCTGTGCAGTTTTCTGTACAGGTTCCGTGCTTGTACCAGGTTAAGGTCTGGGACATTCTAGAGCAGGGGTGTCCAACCTTTCCCCGTGCTTGTACCAAGCTAAGGTCTGAGACATTCTGCTTTAGCCAGGAAACTGGTGCTGCCCCCCCCTTTCTTGTCCTTATTGTAAATTTATTATTTTCACTATCTGTGCCTGTACTGGGAGTATGGGTGAGCTTCTTTCTGTTTAATTGTCTCCTGCCCGTAGTGGTGGAAACAACAGCCAGCAGCTGCTGAGCACATTATTTGTGGAATTAACTTTGTCCACCCCCGCCCTCCTTTTCCTTCCTAAAGTAGGAATTCTTTATGGATTTTCCTTGTTTTTAGTTTCTAGGACACCCTTTGTTTGTTAATTCCTTTCTTTCTCTCTCTCTCTCTCTCTCTTTTATGCCATTTTCTAATCTTCACTGCAGGAGCAAGAATAAGTCCTGCATTGGATTAAATAGCTGCTGTTGTTACCCACTTTGTGGTGTAGTGGGTAGAGTGACACATTAGGACTTAGGAGGCCTGGATTCGAATCCCCACTTGTCCATGGAAACTCACTGGGGGAGTGGAACTGGTAAAACTACTCCTTAAATATCTCACTTACCTTGAAAGCCTATTGTGTCACTCTGAATCGGTTCCAACTTGATGACACATAACATTGTTACTACCAAATAGGTTCCCCCTTTAGTAATGTTGCTGACAGGAGTACTTAATATAATGTGTGCTGTTATTCAAGGCGGTTTCTGAAATAATGTGGTTGTGTTTATTTTTCAGGACACCGTTGCACTATGCAGCTGCCAATTGTCATTTCCAATGTATGGAGACACTGGTGACTGTGGGGGCCAATATTAATGAAACAGATGATTGGGGACGGACAGCGCTACACTATGCTGCTGCCTCAGACATGGATAGAAAGTAAACAAGCCAATCTGTATTCCTTGTTTCTACTTCTTTGCTAAGTCTGCATCATTTCTACTCTCTTCATGCCGCAGTCTCATTTGAAGCAAAATTGCTCTTTAGAACAGAAAGTATTCCTTTTCTGTTCTTGTGGTCCAGTGCAGTTGCTTATTGAGGTAGTTGTGCAACTGCCTGTAGTATAGCTAAAGGTGCACAGGAACACACCTCTAATGTTGCGTGTTCAGCAAAGCAACCTGTGGTAAGCTATTTCTGTTAGGAGGGGGCAGTCCAAACAAAACTTTATAACTTTTGAATGGGTTCTTAAATCAGGACCATATATGGCAAAGTGATTGTAAGCCATATGGGTTTGCTCTGTGCCAAATGTGGAGCAGGTTGGACAAGTATGTTTAAAGATTTGATTTCCAATTTTAAAAACCATTTCCACCCTCCATCTTGTTAACTTATTTGCTGCACATTTTTGGTGGCTCATAATGAGTTTGATAATTATGCTTTAAATGCCTACCACAGCCTCTGCAAAAGAAAATTATTCCTGCTACAGGCAAAAATTCATAATGTCTGGCTGCACATGCTCACTGAAGTAGTCTGTAGACATTGCCCAGAATTCTTGCCCATACTTCAGCAAACGAATGGCTCTTACAAAAGTGAATGGGGCTTACATCTGGGCAAGATGGTAGTTTGGGACATAAGCATTACTGTAAGTGTCTTTGAACAAATGAACATACAAAGTAGTCCATGGGGAGAGAGAGAGAGATTATGAGAGAGGAGTGATGGATGGAAAGAGAGAGAGAAAAGGAAGAGAGAGAAGGAGAGAGAGAAAATTAGTAATAAGTATGAAAGAAGACAGTGAAAGAGATCTCAGCTTTTGAGTCTTGTTCCGCTTGAAGGCACAGTTTGAATGGGACCTTGAGGTGTCTTCTGGAAAGCCACCTGGACACCTACTTTGATAACTCTGGTGGTGGGGATGCTTGGGGTGGGTGTGATACCCAGCTAATCCTGTGGAGTGTGGTAAGAGGAGGGGAAGAAGCAGAGGAAGGAAAGAGGAAAGGGCAGTTTAAAAAACAAACAGGTTAAATGAAGAGTAGCATGGTTTCTGTTATTTTGGAAGACGGGGAGAGTGGGAGGAGGGAGGCAAGAGGATGAAACTCAAAGAAAGAAGAGAGCACTGGGGGGGGGGAAGAGAGAGGGAAGAGATGAGGTGTTGTTTCCCACTCCTTCGACTTTATAACCTTTGTAGATGCCCCATATCCTATGTGGTCTAGATCAGAGGAAGCTGAATGGTCTGGTCTCAGCAGTCTTCTGCAAGGCAAAAAAATTTGCCACTATATTGCAAATGCCTGGGGAGAAGAATCAGAGGCTGACAGTTTGTCTGTTGTTTCTGTCTAATTCACCCTCTTATATCATCCACATCCACTTAAGGAGACTAGAACTAGGATAAAAGAGCTAACGGGTAAAAAAAAAATAGAGGAATAACCTTCATTTATTAAAATACAGTTCTGGACAATGGTTGGAAATGCCCTAGTACTAAACTCATGCCATCTCTCACCAAGCTGGCAGAATGCAAAATACAGCATGAGAGGAGAAACGTTCCCAAATCACAGTGGAGCTTATAGTCAGAGGACGGCACCATACTAGACCCGGCTTGTTATTACGTGCCATCATGTTCCTTCCAATTTTTGGAGACCTCATCTGATTTTTTGGAAATTTACATGAGATATGTGTGGCCCTGGACAAGCTGCATGGTCCCAGAATGCCCCAGGAAAAAGGGAACAGCCAACGACGTCTGAGTACTCTTTGTCTAGAAAACTCTGGAAAAAAGTTGCCAGAAGTCAGAATTGACTTAAGGGCACAGAATTATTATTGAGCGAGCTGGATAGCTCAGTGAATTATCTGGCTGTGGAGTCACAGGTTAGGAGTTCAGTTCCCCACTGTGCATCCCAGAAAAGCCAGCCTGGGTGGCCTTGGGCAAGCTGCACAGTCCCAGGGTACCCCAAGAAGAAGGGAATGGTAAACCACTTCTGAGTACTCTAGACCTAGAAAACCTTGAAAAGGGTTATCGTTGTAAGTCTGAATTGACTTTATGGCGCACATTTATTACTATTATGGACTAAGAGCACAAAAATTGCAACATATACAAAAACCCATTACATTTTTAGCTTTTTAAAACTAAACCAGGTTGAGGTGGCTAATTTAAGACAAGGATGACCAACTTTTTTTCCTAGAGGCCGTGCTGTTCTACAAATACTGGAAGATGTAGATGTAGATATATATAAAGGTAGAAATGTGCCTAGAAGGACACAATTATATAATGTTTAAAATTTCACTTTTTATCTCTAACATTAATAATAATGGTTTATTGTGGGTAGAACAGTGTATTCCATTCCTCCTCTTCTCATTCAGTACATAACAAATACTGCCCATCACTCAATAATTTCTTTGCATTATCTAATAACATGTTAATTTAACAAACAGAAAATATTACAGATACAGTTAAACAAGTTATTTACAGAAGAAGGCTCTGCTTTTTTTCCAACTTAATTGGTACAGCCATCTTGTCAGAAACAAGTAGACTTGGAATCAGTTTGATACTTGATTCATTAGCAAGTTTTTTATACAACCCAACAAAATTACTTTTGAGTATAGTTGTCTTGTTACTTCCCACCATATAATTGATAAACTCAAAAAGAGATTTTTTCCAACAGAGCAAAACCACATGTAATATATATTCACATTGTGAATTACATTTCCAGCATTAATCTAACAATGTTTTTAAATGTTATTGCTAGTTTCTGAGGTGTAAGGTACCACTGAAAAGTATTTTACAAAAATTCTCTCTCAAACTCATTGGCCCAAATCCTACCATGTAGTTATTGCTGCAGAAGGCAAATGGAATAAGTTGCAGCCGCTTAATCCTACTAATTAACAAATTCCCACTTGGATTTTCAGGTACATGCGCCAACCCACAGGATTGGCACATGCTCAATTATATTTTTCTGTTTCCAGAAACATGGCCTATGACTCTTCTCCATTTTAATGTTTTGGGTAACTCTGTGAAATGTGTCTATTGTCAGAAGTGAAAATAAAGGATGGTAGCTTATGCCAGAGGATTTTTCTTTTCTTTTTTCTTTTTGGTGTCCCACCTCCAAATTGAATTACATTTTTTTGTCCCATATGTTAAGAAGAAAGAATATTTTGGGTAACTCCCATGAAAATGCTGAAGAACTTGAAAGAGCTAATGAAATGAAGGAAAAAGAAGCGGCATTGTAAGTTTGGTGTCAACAGAGAAGTTTGACTCCATCTCTGTATAATGCTTCTGCTTCTGTGGGCTGCAATTATGTGCGTTCCTTGTTTTGCTCACTTGTTATTCCGTTGCATTCAACGTCTAAAGTTATGAAACGCTAACCTTGGGATTCTGGTCTATTGGTGTATATCTGTGTGTGTATGTATGTATGTCTTTTCGTATTTCTTTTTTCATGCTAACTGCTGCTGTTGTAGTGTTTCAATACACCCTGAACATGATGTTTTGATGCCTTTAAATAGTATACATTTTGGAATTTGTTAAAAGGCATGTCTGTCTTTCACAAACATGAATATTCACAGCTAGTGTTTATTATGCCATGATACTTGTTGTATCTGTTACTTTCATCACAATAAGAAATGTAACTGAAAAAGACAGCAGAGAAGAAATAGATGTTACACATAGCCCCTGACTACCAGAGGGATTTCCTTAATTACTGAAAGCATCTGAGTGCACCGCAGAGGCTTTTCTCACCTCACAAAATTTACAAGCTAGTTTGCTTCTCTTTTATAGTAGGTTTTCATGGATTAAATGTGATTCCTTTGAAGTCTAATTTTTCAAAGATGAATTTCTTCTCTGACTCTGACACACTTTCACTTTTGATCACTGACAATCTACATGTAACTTCTATTTCTGCCAGTAGTGACTGGGGAAATGTCTTCACATCTTTTCTTTAGATTTCCCCAAGTTTAAAAGGTGACATGGGGAAAGTGTCTGGCACAAAGGAATGACAGGTTGACAATAAAAGTATTTGGGTTGATATCTGAAATAGGACTCTTGTTATATATACCAGTGTTTGGAGTACTTTCCTTCACATAGCTTCAGGATAAAGAGAAGATCTGAGTTGCAACTTCTTCCATCACTGGAGCTCATCTCCTTTGCTACTCAGATATTGGAGGCACAAGAGCCCTGTTTGGCTATAGAAGTGGCAACTCTTCTTTGTAGTACATTTAGTACTACAAAGTACTAGTCATGATTATATGCAATATTTATTTCATTTCACCGCTTCTCCTCGTGAAGAGACCCAAGGCAGCTTGAAATACAGCAAGAGAGGGGTGCGTGTGTGTGCGCATGTGTGTGTGTGTGTGTGTGTGTGTGTGTGAACCAACAAAACAGCTGGCTGTTTCATAGGAATTGATGCCAGAATCTAAAGGAGGAAGAGTGTTTGTGTTAATCTGAAAGGGATCTTATAGCAAGTGCCTTACTGGTGGAAATGGCCAACACACAACAGGTGCAAAATTATGTTCAGCACACAATGAGAAGGCTAGCATTTTAAGGGGCTGTTATACTCCCATAAAAGTTTATTTTGGCATCAGACATCATATGCAGTCAGATAGTGTGTGTTTTCTTTTTCCTTTTCATTTTTACACCTAAATAATCCACAGGTGTTTAGAATTTCTTCTTCAAAATGAAGCCAACCCATCCATCCAAGACAAAGAGGGCTACAACACAGTGCACTATGCAGCTGCTTATGGACACAGACAGTGCTTGGAACTTGTGAGTAGTCTTCTCTGGATCTTGCTGCTTCCCAGTAGCTGTTTGTAACATTCTTAGTTCTGCAGAAATGATTCCTTGTTTGCGGCAATATTTTTATTCTGCCTTTGAATTTGTTTATTTCTCTTATTTAAGTATTTATAAGTTGTCCAACATCACAGGTTCTCAGAGTGAGTTACAAAGCTGTATAAAACAATTTTAAAATGTAAGATGTTTAAAACAAGTTAAAATCAAAGGGTGCCAAATTAGACATTAAAAATGCTAAAAGCATTGCACTAAAACCTATGTAGACCATGATCCTCAGACTGCAAAGGTTCTAATAAATTAAGTACATCTTGACTTGGTACCAAAATGTCACCAAAAAAAAACCAGACCAAATCACATAAAATAAAATTAAAAAAAAACAGTACATAAAGACATTAAATAACCAACAGTGAAACCATAAGTAAACATTGTGGCCTAATTCCCATTTTTAGTCTGAACTAGATGGGACCCATTGAATTAATGGAGTATACCAAAGTACTCAGGGCTTGAAAAATGCACTCATCCATTTGTCTGCGACGAGTGAAAAATGCTGCTCGACGAATCACAGTTCCCTCCCTGCCTGTCTTCTTCCCCTCTACCTGTCTCTCTCTCTCTCTCTAATCCTGCAGTCCTCCCCTCCCCCCTTTGATTGCAAAAGGAAAACTGCCCTCTTCTCATGAGAAGAGTGTTTGAGTGGGACATAGAGATATAGCTCTGCAAGAGAATGTAGAGTAGTCCCATGCTGGAGAATATGTAGTTGTTCTTCAGGGTCTCGGAGAATGCACACAAATGGCTTTTACTGCGCCTGCGCAGGACTCCTCAGAATCTTCTAGAGCTTAAAAACATGTGATTAGTGAGACATTGGGACGTGGTGGCACTGTGGGCTAAACCGTAGAAGCTTTTGTGTGCTGCAAGGTCAGAAGACCAGCAGTCGTAAGATCGAATCCACGCGACGGAGTGAACTCCAGTCGCTTTGTCTCAGCTCCTTGACAGCCTAGCAGTCAAAAGCATGTAAATGCGAGTAGATAAATAGGTACCACCTTGGTGGGAAGGTAAACAGCATTCCGGGTCTAAGTCGTGCTGGCCACATGACAACGGAAACCGTCTTCGGACAAATGCTGGCTCTACGGCTTGGAAATGGGGATGAACACCGCACCCTAATGTCGGCCATGACTGACTAAAATGTCAAGGGGAACCTTTACCTTTACCTAGTGAGACATTCCCCCATGGTGCGCATGCTCCACCCACCTGTAATACCTCAGTTCCCCTTAGCCACTGCTGAAATCAGACTTCTTTGGCAATCCCAATCTCTAGAGTGAACTTGTTGTTTTTTCTCTGGGAGAAATCCCTGAGGCCTTCAACTTTGAGATCACCATTTACTATGGAGCCTACCTTAACACCGGTCTCTTGGTCTGAGCCGGTAGACCAACCCTCAGCTCCCGTCACACCGTTGTCTAGGCGGAAATCTTCTTCTAAGACGCTCAAAGTAAAACACCCATCAGGCTCAAAGTCGACATTGGCCTCAAAGTCACCTTCGGTCTCGGCTAGTGATCCTTCTCCTAAGAAAAGGAAGGACATTGATAAGCAGAAGAAAACAAAGCGGTCCTCTAAATCAAGTTGTCCTAGAGAACCTCCTCCAGCCCAACTATCACTTCTATCACCAATCCTTGAGGAGTCATCGAGGGACATACCCAACCCGGACTCCCATTCGGAAGCGGATGACTTGATGCTGCTGCCGCCGACTCAGGCTCCAGAGTTGTTGTTGAGCCTATCCTTGAGGAGTCATCGAGGTAAATACCCAACCCAGACTCCCATTCAGAAGGGGATGACTTGATGCCACTGCCGCTGACTCAGGCTCCAGAGTTGTTGTTGAGCCTATCTCTGAGTCCTGGCTGCTCAGAGGCTGATGTTATCCCCAGCCAGGACTCAGCCCATTCTAGCCCTATGTCTATCGGGTGAGCAACTGTTATTCAGCTCTTGAACTCGGACGTTTCAGCGTCTGCTTCTCCGCGTAAACGTTTGGCTAAGCAGCGCCATGTTTCTCCATTGGTTCAGTCGCCTAAGCATTAGGACGTTATTTACATCCCTCAGCATTCTCGTCGATAATTGGTGGACTATCAAGAGCTCCATTAGGGGGAGCATGATTGGCATCAATACTCTTATGACGAGATTGATCCTTACTGCGACTCTTTCTACTGACCAAAGAGGGTGCATTACGCTTATGCTTCCCCCTCTGACTTGTCTCCATTGCCTTCTCCTCTGCCTTGATGTCGACACTAGGACTGTTACAGTGTTGATCATGGTTTGCCTGTCCCACACAGGCCAGCTGTTAAGCATCGTTCAGAGCAACTTGACATCTCTGGTCAGGATTCTCAGGCATTGAAATGCTCCCATACATAATCGGTCCCATCGGCTTCAGTACCACGGCCAAGTGAGTCTCTTGCTCGAGTTCCCTCTTCATCTCTTCAGGTCTCTTCTTCTCGCAAGTTCCTGGCTTCACCAGAAAGTGTTCCTTCAGTACGGGTTCCCCGGGTTGGTGCTTCTACATCGAGGTCTCACCACCGCTCGCCCTCTTTCCTTCCTTCTTATAGAGGTTCTTCGGTTTCTTCAGTCTCAGATGTTCAAGATCAGCCCTCTGAGGATTCTAGGGAGTCTCCTTCAAATCTTCCAGTCTCAGACTCAGACGTGGTGGATAACCATCCCCCCTCTCCATCCGAGGACTTCACCTCTTATTCGCAGTTGATACTCCGCATGGTGAAGCCCTTGGAGCTCAATATCGAGCAGCCCCCTCCTCCTAAGCAAGATCTCGTCTTCGACGAGATCAATCAGGAGAAATCACCTCCGTTGAGTCTTGTTTTCATTCCAGCTATGCTGGACCTAATTAGGGAGTCCTAGGATAAGCCTGCTACTTCTTTACAGATTTCCAAGCATGTTGAAAATCATTACAGAACCCACGGGAATGACACTGGTTTTCTGGTGAAGCATCCTCTCCCAAATTCCATTATCGTGCAGTCTAACCAATCTTGGGCTGGGAACTCTACTGTCACACCTACAAACAGGGAAGGTAGAAAACTGGACATCTTGGGCCATCGTCTCTACTCTCTTGCATCCTTCATAATGAAAGTATTGAAATATCAGGCTGCCATGGGGGCATATCAGAAGCAACTGTGGAACAAGTTTCTCCCAGTCCTCCAGGCCTCTCCTGAGGATGCTAGGGCTGAGGTTTTCAATACACATCTAGAGGCATCTGTTTGGCTAAACAGCAATGCTTGGCCTCTTGGCATATGCCGGATGCTGCCTCTAAGGCCATGACTTCTGCTATTGGCCTCAGGAGATACGCGTGGCTCCATTCAGCGGGGATCACCGATGGTGCTCGGCCCCGCATAGAGGACCTCCCATTTGATGGGGTTGGCCTTTTTAATGAGAAAACAGATAAGGTTACGGACAACCTGCATAAAATCCGCAAAACAGCCCGATCCTACTCTACTCAGCAGCCTAGATTCCAACGCAACCACTGGCGTCGCCCGTTCAACTTCCAGCAACCATACCACCAGCAGTCCTATAGATCAGTGGTCCCCAACCTTGGGCCTCCAGATGTTCTTGGACTACAACTCCCAGAAGCCTTCACCACCACCTCTGCTGGCCAGGATTTCTGGGAGCTGAAGTCC